CATTGAAACGTAGGAAGTATGAAAATGTTAACTTTCAGGTTTTTTTTATCTGTACATCCAAGGCGCATGCGGCCGCTATAGGCCTTTAGAAATAGAAAACTTGTAATGACCTAGCTAAAAAAAAAAATAAAGAGGTTGAAAGGCAAAATTACTTATGTGTTTTCTCTTTTGGACGAACAGTACAAAGTGAGAAAAAAAAAAAAATAGAAAGAGTGATAAATGCTATTCACTGAATGCCTTTGACAATTCAGTAATCAAAATTTTACAATAAATTGATACTCAAAGATAATTTATAAACACGTAAATATTTCGAATAGAAGGTTCAAACATTGAACATTATGGGGCCTTTTATTCTATTTGCATATTTTTGAAAAATGAAATTAATTTTAAGGTTTAGATAATTATGCATGAATAAGGTTCAAAACATTATAACAACGTTATGACTTATTACGTTATTTTGACGTAACGTCAATGTGTACCAACACCGTGCGCAACGTCAATATTAATTAATTAATTTAAAACTCCATTAGAAACTGTAAGTTCATATTTTTATTATTTTAAATATAAAGTAATAAACTACGATAATACATATAATAGACTAATATACGATAATATATATATATTTTATATTCCATTTGATTTCCATTTGGGTCCATTTGAGTTTCCATTTGGGTCCATTTGTTTCCATTTGGGTTCCATTTGAGTAAATCGACGCACCCGAATTTTTCTTTTTGTATGTGTAAAATGAGCAAGAACCCCAATATACAGTATGAGCGGAGAAATAAAACTGACTTTAGACTAACGCTTTGCACAGAAATATATAATTTTAACGAGAGAATGTTCGATCTAACTTAAACAAAGATTCAGGGGTATATATAGTTTTTGTCCCGTCAAACCAACATATATATTTGACCTCTTGGCCTGAAAGTTTGACCCTCTTTTGCAAAAAATTGCGCAACTTTAACCTTTGACATAATTTTTGAACATTTGGTGTCAGGGTTTTTCATATTTCACATGTCTTCATCTTGACAAAATCTTTTCACGAGTGTAAATCTTTTGACCTGTTAACCTTGACTTCTGAGTTTTACTCACTTAAAAAAAAGTTTATAGAATGACCTTGTGATGGATTGAGGGTAAAGACAAACAATCAAGTTTTTGTAGTCAGAAAGAACTCGCTAAAGTCAGCCCATGAACTATTGAATGAAATTCGCCAGAGGTCCCATAGAAACAGGTTGATTCGTGACCCCTGGTACTGCGAGGATAGCTATGCCGGGGCATCAGTGTCTCACACACACATCTTGTTCTTTTTAATGATACCTATTTAATATTATGTGTTACATCATATTGTTTTAATCCCCCTTTAAAACCCCCCTCTTTGTTCGACTGAAAACATATTAGATTCAACTAGTATTATTTTATTAATAACTATTTAGAGTGACCGGTGAAATTTTTAATATAATCTGCAGTGGATACATGTACAGGCACTTCGGTGACCCACGTCACCTGACTGTACGTAAAGTTACTAGTATACATGCATAGTGGTATGTCTGCCGAATTAACCCAATTCTCTTGAATTTTAATCAGTCTACTTGGCTAGATTCCCTACAAATGTAAAACTTCTTCACTATGAAATGTTTACTCTCATTTGCTTAATAAATGTTAAAACAATGGAAGATTATTAAAAGACTTAAGGTGTAGACGAAATATCAAGTACACATTGACAATATCTAATAATGCACCAGAAAATCATTCATTGACCCAGTCACTGAAATAAGAGTTTCTAAAATTAAACAACAACAAAAAAAAAACAATTAAGTCAGTTGGTATATATATGCAATTAAACTTTTAAAGGGAGCATAATCCACTTAAAAAGAAAAATATTTAAACAGGAATTATCGCAGCAAGAGAATATATGAATTCCTGTTCTTTTATTAGAACTTCGTTCTACTTGGACTGGTTGTTTTGCCATTTTAACAAAAAGAAAAGATAAGATTATGTGTTTTTTTTTCTGTTTGCATTTTGTGTGAACTAAATAGGTAATACATTTAAATAACTTGTCAGTTGTTTTGTCATTTGGAAGGATAATTCACAAACGCTCGGGAAGCGGACACTTTCACTGTGACATACCGCATTAAAAGTAACTGAACCTAACAACCAGAGAACAGGTAAACTTCTACAGCTCCTTTTTTCTAGTTATCAACCTAAATGATTCAATTACGTCATAGTTAATTTAGAACAATCATATACATAATACATGTACATATAAAATTTTACTGGATTTCAGTTAGAATGGAGAGTGCCATTGCCATTGTTCAAACTCCTACAGAAGAGTTTCATAGAAGAAGCGGCTTAAAGGACATCAGAAACCCAAAACACAGTGAAAAACTAACTTTTCTTCGGTATTTCAGGAAGTACACATCGTCTTTACCATCCGACTGTAAACCGTGGAAGATAGCCGACATGACTTTGATCTCCAATGGCCGCTTTGCGATTATGGACACAGCAAATACAAGGCTTAAAATTTTTACCCCTGATTTTGTTCACGTTACCAGTAAAATCCTTTCTGACGATTCACACAGTCTTACAAGTTTACAAGGAGATAAAATATTCGTGATGGACAATACTTTGGTTAGTTACTATCTATTTAGCAAAGGGAAACTAAGTTTAGAGGAAAAATTCGAATTGACTGGCATGCACTATGATATCTTTAGTGATGGAAATGTGCTTTTTCTAATTAAATTAACGACTTTTGTAGTAAAAAATGACAAGTTTGAGACTCTAAAAACCATTGATTTCAAACCAACATTAGGATACACGCCAGATACCCTTATGTTTGATAAAAATGAAAACATTATATTTTTTAACTGTGACACCTGTTCTATTGTAAGTTGGGATAAATTTCAAGCTGAAAAATGGCGCCTTAATGACGTAGATTCTTGTATAAATATTCACAATTATGGACTGGGCTGGATCGTAGTGGGTATGGAGGAGGTGGTTTTTGTTGATTTAGGAGGGCGCACGTTTGAGCAGTGTCTTGGGGACCCGGAGTGTGAGGATTATAGATGTTCTGTAATAGACTGTGAAAGGAAGAAGCTGTTTCTATCAGACAAGAGAAATGTATATGAGTATGATCTGGAGATACAAAATGTAATGAAATAAGTATTTCAATATAAAATTTAGTATATACGAAAATATTATTATATCATTATTTGTTTATTGTCTGAGAATTGTTGCTATTATATTTTTTATATAGACAAAACATAAGAGAAATTGCAATGAAAATGGAATTGGAGGTATTGATCTAGACATTTTCAGATTCTAGTACTGGTGTTGAAAATAATTGGAAAGTGCGTTACACCTCATTCTTTGTTAAATATCATTAAATATATACCATCTGTTGATACAATGCATTATGTCATATTAAGAACATCTACAACGCATAGCATTTGGTCCTTGTTGTTAGCAACAAAGGATTTCTATTCAAAACTCCTTGTTGTCACCCCCTTTAAGAACACTTGTTTCTTTTGTAACCAATGGCGGGATCGCACTAGTTATCATATATTCTGTTAAATTAATAACATTGTTAACAAATTATTTCTTTAAAAACCAAATAATAAGATGCTTAAACAATGCACATGTACAAAGTCATTCATTCCTTAACATAACCTTAGGCAACATCGGTTCATTCCAACTCGAGAGACAGCGTAATATACACTGCAAGAGGACACTCGAATTTCATAGCAATAAATGTTTGCTATATAGTTATAAATCAAAATATATAAACTTGAAAAGTTAGAGGAATTAAAGAAGTTTTAAGTCAGACCAAGAGGATCTAGAGGGAAATACTTTTCAATATTTTCATACCGCAGTATTAATTTAAAATTTTTGCAAGGGCTTTCGTTTGAAAAACATAACGAAAGCATTTTCTTTAAATTAAATAAATTGCATTCATTTCGATAACTGTAATAAAAAGTTATTTTAAATAGTTCGTTCAATTTATTAACATTAATAAAAATGTAACTCGAAAATTTACTTACATTGTCATTTTGCAAAATTATTTTGATAAAAAAAAATATTCTGATAGTACACAAAAGAACTCTGAAGATGATATTAAAAAGATGCTCGAGTTTCTAATTGACAATATCTATGTGGTTTTGGATAATCTTCTGGAATTCCCATGGGTACCAATCGCTTCCGTTATTAGCATACCTATTTTTATTCATATGAAGCAGAATTTATGCAAAATCTTAAACGTGAAAAGAAGAAAACATTTCCTCTTGCCTTCAACTCGACATTTAGATATGTCGACGACGTACTGTCAATTAACAATGGTTATTTCCATTCTTATGTCGACACGATACATCCCTGCGAGATTTAAAAGATACCAGAGGGACTGACAATCTGTTTCATATTTGAATATTTTAGTGGAAAAAAAACCTTATTAATAATGTAACAACAAGGCTTTATGATAAACGTGATGACTTTATCTTTTCTATCGTCATCTTCCCTTACTCATATGCAGCAATATATCCCAATCACCTGTATATGGGATTCATATCTCTCAGTTGATTCGATACGCAAGAGCAGCCTCCACGTATGTACAAATTCTAAAACGAGATAAATGATTGACAAACAAGTTGATGAAACAAGAACATCAGCAGTCATCTTCAAAGTCATCATTTCGTAAGTTCTATGGTCGATACGATGACCTTGTCAGCAAATATAATTGTCCATTATTTACACAGTGAATTGACGACGGATTTTTCCGTTATTTCCCGATCATGACAAGGAGCACACGGCAAGTGTTTCCGGTCGGCAGAGGATGCTCACTCTTCCATGGCACCTGATCCCACCTCTGATGTTTTGGAGGTCCGTTTTTTGTCTGCTTCTATTTTGTACCGTTTTACTGACTTCTGAGCTTGAGTACGGTTTGTTATCTCCATATATTTCACATAATACATGTACCTCGAAAAACCTGAGTCAGAAAAAGATAGGTAAAATGAAAGTTGCAGGTATTTCTGGCGAGACATTTTAAAGTGTAGAGGGTCCTTGTCGCGATAAAGAATGGCCCTGAGTACCTAGTAAGAGTCTTGATTTGAAGTTTTTCACCTGCACGTGGCATGTACGGTGACGTCTCATAAGAGTAAAACAATCTTGCAAAGAATGTAAAACTACAGAACAGTTATCTATAATGGTAGTTTAAACATTGTCATCTCCTCTGTCATATTAGTTTTTGAATTTTCATTTATGATGTTAAATAAATAAAGAAATTGTCTTCTATGATGTAAGTTTATAAATTATCCGTCATAATTTAAGTTTGAATATTATAATTGTTCTCTATCCTAATGGTATTTTATATATTTAAAAAATTATTAAATGAATTTCCAATCGGAAAACTTTTCACTCTAACAAATACAGACGTCGTTTAATACAGCATCACCGGATACCCACGCGATGAGTAAAAGATGACATCACCCCTGGGTATCCGACGATGCAAATACAGGGGAATGGCTTCAAATTTAGAGCTATGCTCGGCACCCAGCTTCATTGAACATGTATTTAGGGATTTTATCGAACCCACTCTTGTCACACAAAGCTTAGATTTTAAGACCAACAACTTTCACATCAACGTACAGCTTGGCTAAGGAACAGTCGAGCAATATTAAAATAAAAAAAATTTGATATACATGTAAATTGATTTCATAATTTTTCAAGATGTTAGTCTATAAACTTTTGTGCATTGGTCCATATTGCACTTGGCGTATTGAGATGCAATAATTTGAAGTATTATTTTTGTGTGTCACGAACAATGATAATTTAATTTAATAAATGTAGTTAACAAAAGGAATCGTGAACAGGGACAAAGCAACACCCCCTCCCCCTTAGAAAGATGAGGTGCCTAGAATGGAACAGCCTCCGCCATGAGCTCTATGTATTGATAGGTATACGAAGTACTTAGTAGTCTAATTTATTATAAAAGTATTGAGCTGACATATGTCAAGGATTAATTTAGATAAAATACTGCCCAACAATACGCTAAATTTCTAATCTAGGTCATTATATAACGACATAATAATTTGCAAAAAGCAAACTTTGAAATGGGTTGCTAAAATCCATGTAAAATCTACTTATTTGTCAGACGTCAGCCTCTATTTAAAATCCGAGCGTACTCAGAGCGTGCTTTTGAGTATCGAATCAGTTGGGAAACACTAACAGCATATGCAGGTGGAATATTATTACATAAATAAGGGCTGTTAACGATGTAAAAATCTTAAATCATCCCGTTTCTCTTACGGTTTATTCATTAGTTTGCCATTCTCGTCTATAGTCAGTAAACATCAAAATATGAACAGATTGATGTGACAGGCTCTTTGGTGTCTTCTGTTTCAGGTTTACTGAGAAAATATTGCGTCGACATATACCCAAGGAAATGGAACTTACTATTTTTAAACGGACAAGGAATATCTAAATACCTAAACTAAACTAGAATGCTACTAGTATTTGATAGGATTTATGGTTTGAAGATGTCGTAAAAAGAGACATGTATGCTTATAGTTTTAACATTCTGCAGAAAAAATCAAGTTATATTAGTTTATCATATGTAAATTTATGCCAAATCGACATTGAAGTACTTTTTTTCAGTATTGTAGATCATTACAAACAAGATTATGCAGATGAGCTACATGGACCTAAGGCCTCTGTTTAGGTATACTTGTTCTTTGTTAAAAATAAACAAGTGCCAGCATGACTCTTTGACAATTAGCCATTAAAGTTCAATAAACTCGTGGTATTTAAATGAGCCTTCTAGAACTGGTGTAATCATCCCAAGTTATCAGGAAAACTACTGAGGTAAGTGTTTACTAACAATCAAATACTTCTTTTAAAACATTTTTTTAAGTAGTACCTACTATAAATAGCTAGACAATTTCAGAGATATGTATTTAATATTTTAACTTTGATTCCATTGGAAACTCTCTAGAAATGAAAAAAAAAAGAATGTAAACTTTCATTCATGATGCTTTTTAAATATGAATAAAAACCGATGGAGTCTGAAATTACTACATTTGTACACAAGAAATTAAATGCCTGCATTTTTATCACTTCAAAGTTCAGGTGTCTTGCACAAATGCAGTGCTATGATAAGCATATCATTCCAGAAAGATCTAGTTTATTCTATTAAGCATTAATAATTATGTTTCTCATATAGCCATTATAATTGTGTTTTTTATAAAATATACATTACGTATAATGGAATGCAGTAGTACACGAAATAAACTATTTCATTGAGATATTTTGAAAGCTATTATAAAATGTTGTATTGATGACTCCGAAGGAGGTAAAAAATCAATATCCTAAGTTAAGTATGGTGCTCGGATTGGGTCATGTGCAGGGTGCAACACTACACTGTTATCTTGTGTAGTCTGATATAGACTGTGGATCTGTAGATCACTGATCTGGAAAAATCTCATTAACGACCCCTCTGATCACCCATCCTCATTTTCCAGACAATCACCAAAGCTCTGGGAACTTACACAATCATGTATATACTGCTGAATATTGATACTAGTGACGATGTTTTGCATTCACACAAAGACCTGTATAATGCCTGCAAACGGTTATTGCAAACATACTGAATCGAGAAAGGACAGGTCGCAATATTACAATTCAACTTCTTTTTGTTGCACGTGGCAGCTGTCATATGATAAAATATGAAATACATGTATTTATAAAATTAAGGAAGATGAAATGATCAAAACTTTGCATTAAATTGCAAAAGACAAGTTTCGACAGTATATAATTAATTTCCAAAGCGTTAAACTATAACCAATTACCTTCGTCAAAACATCACTCTAAAAACAATTGTAATTGAAAATCTATCTAAAAACCTAATTGTTTGGCTTTATGTTTTAAGCTTTAACCTTTCGATCCGCAGCATTCGGAGAAGTATTCTCTTTACCCAACACCAATCTCCTTTCAGCTGCACAAACGATCTCTCTTTTTTGTTTTTAGGTTATAACGATGGCCAAGTCGTCCGACAAACAGCTGACTTATCCATCGGAGGAGGTAAGTACATATCTATTTTTGCAAGAAAGTTTTTGGAGGTATTATTGCACACATACTTTATTCATAAACATATTTTACGTTTTAAATTCGCCTTGTCATAGTTCTGCTTTAGAAATTAAGCTGTGTTCTTCAAATTCGCCCAACCATGAAGAGAGCGAAAGGGGGTGAAAATAAAACGGGGCAAAAATTTCCCTGTATATAGTTTTATTTTGAATGCAATGACTTTGATATCATCAAAATGCATGGGGGTCAATATTCGTGGATTGTTGATATTTTACAGGTTTATGAAGATGTAATTTCGTGTATTCATAAATATCAACAAACGGAAATATATGTATAATAGGGATCCACGAAAACTAATGATATATTTCTCATTGTTTAATAAGATAATTACCGACTTATTGGATTAATTCAATAATGTGATCTAGGTCGATCCATACGAAGTTTTGTCTAAGAAGATTGGACATGGTGTAGAAGATGAATTAGAAGTTGAGAAAAAGACTTCTGTTCCAGAAGGGAAACTATTGGTAAGATATATTTCTAGGTAAACATAACTAATGAATACATTAAGACTTTTGGTCTGCAATAAATTCAATGCTTGATTTTAGAGCCATTTTGTTACGGGCAACCAGGTACAGTTAGTCTCGAAAATAAGTGGGCGTTCTCTAAGGATTGTGCAGGATCGTGTAGGTAAACTCAAAGTGGACGGCCGGGGAGACCTAGGAGAAAAAGAATGGAATGGTAATACTTTCTTTTAAATTTGTTTATTTATGTCATAAGAAAAATTATTGGGAAAGGGAGGACTTTTTTGATGTTTTCTATTCTGTGCTTATTTTCGATTTTGGGGGTGGGGATGGGTAGCATTGCATCCTGTGTTTGTCAATCAATTCATTGTTCTTTAAATGAAACACTACCCAAACTTAATCTTATAACGCACATTACGTAAAAGTCAGCTTTCTATATTTTTTAATAACTGTGGATACGTATTTACAGTCTTACACTGTACTATGCCGTTTCAGCTGTCTGGACAGTTATAAATGAAAAGCACAACATGGAGATTCGCCTTCATAATAACTTTAATTTCCTGTCTATAAGTAACGGAGAGACTAAAATTGTTCACGTGGTGAGTACAGATTTGGTATTACATGTATCACTGTGGAAACACAGTTACAGACAAGTTTACATAAATAGTATATTTTTCTGTCAATTTGTTCTGTCATTATTTGTAATATCATTTTTCATTATTAAAATAAACTAGAAAAACAAATATTTAAAGAATACTAGTACTACTTTCTGGTTTTTATATTCAATAACGTATCATTTTATCTGCAAATGATTTACTTAAAGAAATAAAATAAATTCATATTAACATAACCTTCTTACCTATGGTGTATGGTTGACACAACTTTTAGCCCGAAGAAAAGGAGCACGATAGGTTGGATACGCTGTTTCTATTGGTTCTTGATCCAGAGAACTTCGTAGCCCTGGAGTCAGTGAAGGAACCTGAAAATTGTGTGGGGATAGAGGCAAACGGTTCCTTGAGATCGGCGGAGAAAACCTTTGTCCATGACGATCATGCCATGTTTGGTGTACATTTGATAGTAAGAATGTTTTGAAAATACTAAAAAATGCAACAACAAAAAACGAATAAAATACAAATTGATGAATATGTATGCAGCTTTATTTTAAGATAAAACAATATTAACTCAGTAGACAACCACAGATATTCGCTTGTAGTATGATTTATGCCTTATGCAGCACACTAGTACTCTAGTTGATCTTTTGACAATATGTATAATATGTCTGATCATTTGTTTTCTTTTACAGAAGCCAGATGCTAAATGAATTATGAAGATTTGGGCCTGAGAGGTGTGAAAGCTTCCCAAGTAAAGGCAACTCTATTGATAAGTAAACTAATTAATGAGATGAACACAATGTATTGTTTTTCCACACTATTAATAACCTCACTATTTTCAGTGTTGACTGCAGTATATACATAAACAAATAAATGATACAGAAAACAATAAGTATTCCAGAAAATCATGAAAATTGTACAACGTCTATAGATGTCTGAAAATTATTTAGCTAAATTATTTTTAACATGGATATATATTTGTATTTTTTTTATACATATTAAGATTTTTTTATACATATTTAGATTTTTTTGTAATATAATTATGTAGCCTTTTTTATATTAATGCAAACAAATCTTGATTCATTTTTTTAAAAATATCAACGCCACTGATATTTTTTGTTGTAAGAGGCCGTCCATAGTGCACGTTGTGTTTTTTTGACGCATAGATACAATTAAACTATGCTGTATTCGTATAATGCTCTGAAAAATATAATATTGGAATTGAATAAAAAGTCAAGATATGAAGAGGTATATAATGTTGAATCCTTCAATTAGAATTTTCAATTTAAATAGCATTTACAACCCTTTCAAATGCAGTCACTATTTGTATACACAATTATTTGCATAGAAAATAAATTAAAATGTGCACTGGAACATTTATTCGAAACCATTTTCCTAACACATTTGTTGTTCAATATGCATATTTATGATAAATGTTCTTCACTTAAGCATATTTCATACGGTTAGAATTATGCGAAATAATTATTTTTTTGCATATTGTTTTGTCTGTTGTTCTTTAATCAGCAAGTATGGGACCACTCTAATTTAAACGTGGTGGCTTATTTGTAGTTGAATAAATGTTTAATATCTTGGATACAAGATTTCTGTTCTTATCTAAGAAAATGATATATATTTGTGTTAAGTGGTTAAACTGAAATGAAAATCTTGACATCAGTTTATTTTTCTTAAAGAAACTTTTTTTTAAAAGTCAAATATGAAAAAAAACTTGACAGTCACGAGTATCGTATATATGACTACTCTTAAATGTCTTCTTTAAAACATGATTTTTTTTTCCAATATAAAATTGTTCTAAGAGGATACCTTCATTTTTTTCCCCTTTCATTAAAAATGAAATTAAAGTGAGATCGAAAACTGGTATATATCTTTGGCACATCAAACTGAATGAAATAGATAATTTAAAATAAGGGATGTCAACGAACATTCAAATATTCATTCGGTGAGTTCTTATTCGAAAAGGACATTTTGATTCGAATATTCGTTTTTTTTTTAAAGTATACATGCATTTAAAAGAGAGACAGATAGAATCAGCATATAATTTAAAACAAAATTAATTGATACTACTCTTGACTAAATTAAATGTTCAATTCAGGTTAAAACAGTATGAAAAAACATGGAGCACAGAAATGCATGTACCTGCGTTATCATCCACTACTTTAGCATAAACATTTTCTTGTCTGTAATTGTCAAGTTCATCATACTGGGATCTGTAAATGTTAAATATATCTATATTTTTATCAAAAGATTAACTCAAACATGTAATATTAATTATTATTTCTTTATTTTATGTATGCGTTTTTATTTGCTTACCTTGAGGTTTGCTCTTGATCCTCTTGATGAACACCTTCTAAAACAAAGGAAATAATCATGCTTTTATAGCATTAAATACAGGATAGATTTTTTGGTTTCTTCAAAATGTTAAGAGCTATCATTTCTGAAATTAACATGTTTTGCTCACAAGAAACAAATACTTTATTAACCATCTGTTCCTTTGGCGACGTCCAGATAATGATGGTCCTCTTCCTTAGCTATATTCTCCATTACATAGTCTGGATTTTTACTAGAATAGTTTACTTTATAAGTTGGCCCTGAATTAAAGTGTAAAAGTTTTAACATGCATTCTCTGTAAGCACCAAAAAATTTACTATAGGGCTTGGAAACGACATATCTCCAATTTTGATGAAATTTGCACCACAGGTGTACCTTGGCACAAAACCAGCATATATGGTGTCAGAAGTTTCCCACGTGCACCTGGTTGCCATGGTGACGGATCCATTGAATTTGGCCATTTTCGGCCATTTTTGACCAAACAAATACATGAAAATTTAGGAAATATGAATGCATTTTTGTCTTTACGTAGTAGACTCAAATATAAATCTTTGTATCATAAGAAAACATCAACTTTAAAGGAATACACGGCATATAATCAGTTATTTCAGAATTAACCCACTCTTAGAAAATGGTCCTGCAAAATGGCATGGTTTCTAAAAATGTGAGAAATGGAAAATTTGGCATTTTTTGATAAATTTAAGGTTAAATAAAAAAAATTGTCTACGGAAATTTTTCAAATCTTATGCATGTCGTCAAACATCAGTATAAGAAGTGTCTCCTCATGAAAAAATCGGAGTGGGATCTCAAGGCTATTTTTAGTAACATGTATCTAAAAATAGACATATTTCAGAAAAATCCAAAAAATGAAATTTTGGCAGAGTTTATGATGGCATTGCTAGGTAATTATGATATATACTGTAAAAGTCAATATGCCAATGCCAGAGACTGGACACCAATAACTAAAACGCATATTATTTTCAGGGATTTCCGTTTTCTATTTATAGCTTCAAAGGTCTAAATATAGACATGTCTCATAAAATGCTGAAAAATGTCAATTTCCCATCATTTTGAAGCTTCACCAAGTCTTAAATAATAAACATACGGATCTCTCCAATATTCCATCAATAAGGACAAGGAATACTTTAATAACTCACAAATTATTGAGGACAGGCTCTCATATCTATAAATAGTACAAATGTCTAAAAATAGACACATGTGAAGTTAACTGTTTAATGACGATTTTCCATTAATTCTCAAATTAGAGATGAACAATTTACCCACTCAGTGTCATTAACTGCAACTGGCATAATGTGACTGACAATAACAGACAACATTCAATGGAATGCAGCATGATAAGCAGAGGTTTCCATTTCTATTTATAGTAACACATGTTTAAAAATAGACATAATGCAAAATTTTGGATTAATGTAGTTTTTAGTACTTTTTTCTCAAAATTATGATGAACAATTGAAGACCATTTGTTTTTTAAAAACTGCTATTGGCATATGGTGACCAACAAGTAAAAGAAAGTATTATATGAAATATAGAATGAGAAGCAGAGGTTTCCATTTCTATTTATAGTAACACATGTTCAAAACTAGACATGCTGCAAATTCGCTAGAAAATGTAGACTTTCGCTCTTTTTTCTAATATTTTGGGTGGACAATGTGCAAACGAGTGATTTTTATTTGTTATTGACAGAAGGTGACTAAAGAATATGAAATAGATTTAGCTAAAATGTATAAGAAGAATGTTTAATGGTATTTTTCCATTTCTATTTATAGTAACACATATTTATAAATAATCAGGAAGATTTAGAATCGTTCTTTTTTCTTATATTAGGGATAGGGAATTTGCAATCAAACTTTCATTAGCTGTAACTGACATGGCTCATTGTATACGGCGCGCCAGCATGTCCATCTCATTACAATATCACAAAAGTATGTTCTCCCTGCATTAAAACACTCAAATGACAGCGATTATTATAATTCAAGCATTATTGCTTAAATTCAAGTCGACAGCCTGTGCCCAATAGCATTTTGTTTGTTAGGTGGATCCAGAAAAATTTTCCTTAGGAGGTGGTTGCTCATATCACAACGGTAAGAGGTCTGAGGCATAGCTTTAGTTAGATCATTACGTCAGTTTAAGTGAAAGTTGAATATTCAAGGGATCCCGGATTCCCATTTGATCCATGCATGCCTTACCACAATTTGTTCAAGAGTAATCCGAAATTTTCCCCAATGTTTTGAGTTGGCCCACTTTCGATTTTCTCTCTCTGTACGTACATGAATATATTTCTCCAGACTTTAAATATATCATTGAAAAATATTAAGTGCTTTGGTATTTATAAATTTTTTTTTACATATAAACATCCATGTAGGAGTTGGAACCTGGGGGGGGGGCGGCTGGACAAAAATAGACATCATATAGGTATAAACATTGGGGAGTAGATTTAGCCCCCCCCCCCTCCCTTTCAGCAGTCATGTTGCAGTGTAGTTGAAGAGTGTAAGTGGTAGTGTTTGAAAGAATAAAAATGGCACTGAAAGAAGATCCCCCCTCCCACGAAATAGGATTTCATGTTTGGACAATAGACACCCCCACCCTTATTATTTTTTCAGTTCCTATTTCCCCCCCCCTTTCACCATAGATTCTAGAGTTTTACCTCCTTTTTAAAGACTTGATTCTTTGGTACGTTTTACAAGAACCCAAAAAGCCTGAATTGCTCTTCTGATAAATTGTACAATCTATCACTTCTATTTGAAGCCTTTAACTCTAATTATTGTGATACTAAAATTGGCACGATCTGATAGTTTCTACTTAATTCTTGCACTAGTAGGACTGAAGAAATTTTAATAAAGCTATAGAAAAAACATAAGTAGGTCACAGTGGACCTGGTTCTTTGATAACTTGAAATGCATTAATAGACAAAGATTGAGGATTCTAAGGCAATAAGTATTTTATATAATAAATGTAGATAACTGTGATCTTCTTTTTTGTCTACATTCTCCGAAACCCCAATATGCATCAACTGACAAAGTTTGATGATTCTAAGCCAATAAGTACTGGAGATACTTAAATATAGCCATAAAATGTCAAAAGTAGGTCACTGTGACCTACTTTTTGGTCGTCACTCTCCGAAAACCAAAGCTGCATCAACTCTAAGATATTTAAATATAGCCATAAAATGTTGAAAGTAGGTCATCTTGACATACATTTTGGTCGAAGGTTTTAAAGTTCCAAGATGCGTCTACTGACTAAGTTTGATGATCGTAAGTCTGAAGTTAATCAAAATATGCCTTTTAAACAATTTGAAAACAAATGCCCACAAAATTCAAAAAGTAGTCACAGTGACCCACATTTTCATAAATATTTAATAATGTCCCAAGATGTATATCAACTTACAAGATTTAATGATTATAAACCTCTCAGTGTCTGAATGGAATTTAATGTTTCAAAAAGGATAAGTCGTAAAGTTTAAAAGGAAGGTCAGGTGACCTACTTTTAAGTTTTGTTTGAGGACCGAAGACCGAAGATACATCAACTGACAGAGTTTGATGATCATGGGCCTTAAAGTGTCCAAAATATGCCTTCAATTCAATTTAAACAAAATATACCCGTAAATTTAAAAAGTAGGACACCGTGACCTACTTTTGATTTAACATGTGAAGCCCTAAGATGCATCAACTCACAAGATTTTATGATTCTAGTCCTCATAGTAAGCAAAATATAAACGTTTTTATTAATTCTAAATTAAGGTCAACTTGAAAGTGACCTTAAGACCACCGCCTTTGTCCCAGGGTA